TTTTTTTGTTTACTACTCCTCCGTTAAAACTGCTTATATTCGTAAAAGCAACTTCACAGCTGTTCAACGCTCAACTGAATTCTTGCTCATGACTGTGTGTCTATTTAAGTAATTTTCGATGAAAAGGTAAAAACATTTGTTTCTTTGGAGATGCCATACACGCTAACGTGCACTTAACTTTTATTCTCATAACAGCAAAGTGGGGAGCGTGAAGCGCTGAGAGCAACGAAAGCAATACCTTCGAAAATACAAAAGGAAAAAGTGCAGTACCATTGTTTTAAGCTCRTAGATTGAGTTTTCTTTCGAAGTGCATTTCGGTAACGTACGCGAATACACACTCCAAACAAATGTGAATGACTAACACGAAGAGCTGGCTGCGGTTTCCTATAGAATTRGGTAAAATCGTAACGGTATCGTGTGATGTTTCAATGCATCTCGGAGCTATAACAGATTTAGTGAAATTATCGCAAGATTCACGAATATTTGGGTATAAGAGCTCTGTACAAAGTGACAGTCATTTTACTCCGAAATCCAATCGACAGTCATCCAAAGCTTTGGCTGGCAAGGTTATCCATGAATTGGGATTCGAATTGCCTCCGAATTCACCGCATTCTGAAGGTATGGCCACCAGCGACTACTTCTTATTCTCATATGTCAAAAGAATGCTCGTTGGGAAGAAATTTTCGTTGAATAAAGAGGTGACCGCCTATTTTGAAGCAATGGACAAATGTCGTCGACAAGTTGGAGGGTCACTATAATCAGTGTATCACTATTGAAAGGAGCTATGTTTAATAATAAAAAAAGAATATCGTCGAAAAAAAGGTTTAACTAAGGTAAGCCGGGGACTTTTGACCTGTTATATAATCAGCTTAAACTGAAAGACTCACATTTTTTATAAAAAAAAAAAAAACACAGTGACAATAATTTATTCAGCTTTCAATAGAAAGAAACCTGGCAGAATACTTTTATTTCACAAAGTATTGTTTGATTGACAAAATATTATCCAAATTCTGTTGATAACCTGGAGCAACATTCTTCATGTTCTCGTACCACTTCTCAATATTGGAGTACTGTTTTATGTTCACTTCACATCCCGGTAGAGACGCAAACGCATCCAAAGTGGTCACTGTAGCCAATAGTGACAGATCAGCCAACGTCAGTGTATCACCAACTGCAAACTCGTTACCACCCAAAAGAGTATTAAATAATTCCAACTGTTTCTTCAACTTTTCTAATATTTCTGGATCGCAAGGCGTTTTCTTAAGAATGGCACTTGAACAGTAGCTCCAAAAAACGGAATAAAAATCAACATCGAAGTAAAGTCGTTGATTGATGAGTCCACGTTTTTGAGCGCAAGCTGGATAGAGGGAATCTGATGTAGCATGTTGTTCCACCAGATAGATCATGATGACATGCGAATCCCATACAGAAAATCCGTTATCCACCAAAGTTGGTACAGTGTGTTGCGGGTTAATCTTAAGATATTCGGGCGTTAGGTGCTCACCCTTGCGTAAGTCCACCGGAATTTTATTTAACTCAACGCCAATTGCTTGAGCTGTCATGAGTACCGCGCGGCAGGGGCCTGATGCTGGACTGTAGTAAAAATCCATGTTACTGATAATCTGCAAAAGAAAATAAAACATGTTGTTATTTATGTCAGATATAAATAAATGCAGTTGGAACACAATTCTTTCAATTTACGTATTGCACTATTTTTGATGCGCCTCGGTAGCAAAGTCTTTCAACACCGACCACTTTAAATTCAATACTAAATCTTATTTAAAGAGTGGTCTACAGCACCTGCTTCAGGAGTATGATTCGTAAAATTAATATAAATAAATATGTTTCTTATCTGTGAGAGTCATAATGAAGGAGCGCTAAATTTCCAACACATTTAAACGAATAACATAAGACACCTTAGATTTGTTTTGAATTAATTTTGTACTTTTGCAACATGTTGCTCCAGAGCATAMTAATTTTGTTCACCTAATGGTTGTTTGTATCACCTAAAACTAATCGATATACTTGATCAGGATAATGAGAAGAGTTGAAATCCACATGTCTGTCTGGCAATTCGTCCGCCTATGCAAGCTGTAACTTAAGCAGATATTGAGATACCCTAATGAAACTTGGTACATGGGTGCATTGGCAAAAAAAAAGACGAGTTCGTAGAGGCGTAATCGGATCACTGTCACGCTTTAGTGTGTGCCACCTTATGACCAAAAGTTGTTGAAATCTAATAAAAACTGTTCAAGACACTAGGTACCGAATATTTAGACCTCGGTACCTACAGATGACTTTTKATCAAAAATGTCGGTCAATGTGTGATATACTTATATAACTGGATTTAAGGGATAATCTGTCTGTAATCTGGATGTCTGTATGTCAAAAACTAGTTGAATCGGACTTCCGTTAGCCCCGATTTACTTATTATAAAGATTTTCGAATTTCCGTGTGACTTTGTACCGCATATATCAGCTAATATGTGAATTATCTCAATGAAAATGAGAGCGTGTGTTTTACTGATAACAGTGCATTTTTGTGCTTAAAGAAGATGGATTAAGCGAAAACTTGGCCTAGCTCCTATATAATTAATATCAGGATTTTCGAATATCCGATTGATTTTTACAAGTTGCAAGAGTATAAAATGTTCATTTGCACCCGAACTTAGCTCTTCCTTACTTGTTAAATCTTCTCCTTGGCTAACATTTCTTTGCCGTGACAAATTGATCAAAGTTTTCGGGAGCTTTGGGCGACTTTCACCGAGTAACTACCAGAGACTGGATTGTCCATTGCACTGAGGTGCCACAAATCGATGCAAAAACTCGATATTATTGCCTTTGAGCACTGCCACATTGTCTTTTAACAGTCGAACACGTTAGCATTTACTTCCTCGTGATGAAATTCAGCAAACCAGTGCTTGTCGGAGGCCGTAAACGTGTCAATTCATTACTTTGTCCGATTTGTGTTTTAATTTATCTGAAAACAATGTCTTATCAAAGCACGAAATTCACTTTTTTCCAAAATAAACAAAAATAGAAGAGATAAAGTAGCATAGAGACCAACAACTTAGGAACTATTGAATACAATGCCAAGGTACTTAGACAGCGATCAAGTGTAGGCTAGGACCCGAAACCATGGAATTTTTTTTTATCGCGAACATTAAATACTATTCAATGTAGTAGGACAGCTATTATTAAGTTCCAACCGAAAAAGTTCAAATATTCCAAATAGTCTCAAGWTTTTATTTGCAGCATTTTCAAAAACTGCAGGCCAAATATAATTACTGATATGACTAACGATAGATCGATACGATTATTCGTGTCTGTTTTTAGGCAAGCTTTCCGCCGCAGGATTTTGTAACTTAAAAATTGCCAATCTGAAATTTTCAGACATCGCTTACCTTAAACTCTTCATTTTAATTTCAAAATAKTGGACATCTGAATTTTTTTTGAAAYTTTACATTTTTATTTAAATAAATTACTCCAGCAAACCTAAGTACAGAATTAAAAATACATATTGTAAACTTAAACACCTAATATTTTTTTATATTCCAAACAKCCAGCCCAGTTTTCTTCCCAACCGGGTGCAGTCTTCTTCAAATCCTCATACCATCTGGCCACATTGACATATTTACTGAAATCGTATTTGACAACATCATAAGATGACACAGTTGCCAGCAATGAAATATCGGCCAGAGTATAAGAATCTCCAGCAACATATTTCCGTCCCTCCAGGAATGTGTTCAAGAATTCAAAAGCTGTGTCGACTGCCTTGTACTTCTCTGCGTCGACTTGTTTCTTGAAGAGGTATTGTTGGATATATGAATTAACAAAGGCGCTATATATTGTGGAGATGTCGAAGAAGAGCAGTTGATTGACGACAGCACGCTTCTTGGGGTCTTTCGGRTACAAAGAGTCATTTTTACCGTATTTTTCGGCCAAATAGATGATTATGGCACGCGACTCCCAAATAGAGAAACCGTTATCCACCARTGTAGGAATTGTATGTTGTGGGTTGAGTTTAAGAAATGCCGGTTTCAAATGCTCTCCAGCAAACAAATTTAGCAGTTTCTTATTCAATTCGACTCCCAAAGCTTTGGCGGCCATCTCGACGGCGCGGCAAGGAGCGGAAGCAGGAGCATAGTAAAAATCCATTTTTAGCCTACAAATAATTTAAATTTTATAATTAGATTTAGATAAAGAAAATTAAAAGTTTTTATACTCGTATCGCAATAATATCTTGAAAAGAACAGATATAGATCAACGTAAAAGATATCACACAGAGCAAATTTTATGTACAAAATAATATTTCAYTTGAGAGATCTTCTGAATATCAATCTAAACTCTTCTAAGTTTTAATTTTAATAAGTCTRATTGCACTATGATCAATTTATAACCAATGAGAGATAAAGTCAACTATTTTGGCGACTTAGCATCAGGATATTATTTAACTATTCGTTAGATCACTGAGAAAATATCTCATATTAAATTTAGTAATCACTGGAAGATTAGCTACTTTAAACAACATTTTAATCCACGGAGTTCTAATGTCTTTCCACAATAAGTACTACAGGACGTCTCCTAACGTTTGCCTCAATACTTATGTACATACATCTAATCGTAACTCACTTGTATGGAAGGCGGATACGTGGTGATTCTAGAAATCGCTTGTATAAGTTCAATGTCGATACTGAAAATYCAATAAACGCACGCTTCTTTTTATACCAAAAATATTCCAAGATTTTAAGCAAATAAATAAACGGTTCTTCTTCTTCCAAAACGGCTATTCTCTTCCAAAATTGGTATATACAAAACGTAAACAACAAGAGAGGCGCGTGGTCAGCACATATTGCCGAACGGTTAGCGGAAAAGCAAACAATTAGAGAACACCTTAGTTRGGGCGTTATCAGCATTAG